ACTTTCGGTTCCTGAACTTTTAGTTTATCTTCCAAAACGTGTGAATTGGCTAACCTTCCCGAAGAAAGCGCGAGCAATAAGTATAACGAAGCCGTGAATTGTGACGAATTGACCCACGCGGCAGAGGTGTGAAACTGCTAATGTTAGATACCGTCTGCTCTATTGCAGAAATCTCGTGGGTGTTGAAAAACACCGAAGAAAGTTGCAACAATGCAAGAATTATGAAATTACGAAACTCGATGGGATTTATCATTTTTATTGGCATATACTTCGTCCCACTCTTCGCCTGTGGGCTGATCGGTTTACGCATTTTTATAATTCAGTGCTCGTAATCACATTTGATTAATTATCGTGCGGACGTCTCAAAAAGCTCTCCCGTTGCTCTCTTAACGCATCGTTCAAGTCTCCGCGGTTACAAGCTCCTTATACAACAGATTTCAACCCGCTGTTTAAACAGCAATCGTATGCATAAATAAAGAGTCAAGGCAATTGTAAATAGCAATTAAAGCACTTTATTGATCGTTCTGGAATGTTTTTATTAATTTCTTCTCGGTTTGTGATTGACACTATGAGCAATACTTGCTTCATAAGCATGTTATTATTAAATTAATACTTGTATCGATAATTAAGGAATGTATATAACACTGTCTGTCTAATAATTTTAATACTGATTAGCATAGAATGCGATACCAAATGCCATGAAATTCCTGTAATTTAGGTCTAGAGTATTCGTGTAATAATAATTATATTTACCGTGCGGGCGGCGAGTACCTATACTTTTATGGCAGCGAATAATTTGAAATTTTAAAGAGGTGATATAATTGTCGTATTAATTAAAGAAATCATTCTTTGTACCTAATAGTAACATATTTTAAAATGTCTTCCTTGTCGTTATTCAAAATTAATGAGAGTGTAACCAGTGCTAATGCTATACAGTCTTAATACCTTTCACCCACTACGGACATTATCCAAACAATGGTGATGTCCGAAATGTGTCGGAGCAATAAAAGACTAAACTAAGTGCTAAATTAAGTGTATAATGGCAAGACGATGGTAATACAAAAATGATAAATTCTAAAGTCTTCGTAAATTCTTTGTTTACTACAATAGATAATCCTACTTAACTCACATTAAAAAAAAAAACAATGTAAGTCAGAGTGGACGATTATACAAAAGCAAGTGAAGGAGTCTCGCTATTTTATCGAAGTTACCATAAATTATTGAAAAGAGACCTGTTGAACGAAGGTTAGAGAAATCAGAGCAATTTCATTGGAGATACCAATATATCGATAAGTTTTTGCGTAACCAATGATTGTTCATTGTTACGAAGAATTTTCCTATTAAAATGGTATATTATTATTTGTAATTAATCAGGCATGTGGATGGGAGATCTTATAACCTAGTAATTCAAGTTTTTATCGTCTCTTACATTAACTGTTCTTTTCCACGCTCACGTGTTGAAAAAAAATCAATAACGTGCTTAGATTCCCATGAATGATTAAATAATTATAAATTTCAACTTGAATTTTTATCCTTCAAGATAATAGTAATTTAACTTCCGAGGGTCAAAAGTAAAATTTACATCACATAAAGTAGAAAAGATTGTGAACGTTTCGGCCACAGCGTTAAACAAATGTTTAACTTTTGTATTTTTAAAATGATTGATTTTTCTTCGAGAGCGCACTATTTATAGCTATAAACGGTAATGAATTTTCATTAAATGCTGCCGTAAAGTACGTGACCAGTTTTTCATTGGGTAAACACCAAGCAGAACTGGTGTGTGCCCGTTTATATTTAATAAAAGAACCGTTTGCTTTCGCAAGATGCGCGAATAAAAATTGAAATAAATTGCCATTACATATTATGTTAACTTTATATTGCAATTTTGAAATATTCTTCTGCAAAACTTCAGACCACAACTTTGTCTCTAATACTCTTTAATGTCATACGGTACAAAATATTTTGATTCAAAGCTGACTTTGACTTCTGACCTACAGATGGAATGTGAATATCTGGACTTGGATGCGCGTTATCATCGCTGCTATTATTTTACCTGTGACATCACTGACTTAACAAGATAAAATCCAAGTACTTGCGTCAGTGATAAACCAATTATAAATTGAAACTCTTTTATTTATTCGGCCATAAGAATTTGCACTTGTCATTTCATCCAAAGCGGAAAAACAATCCTCGTGAGACAATTACACAAAAAACGAGGAACTATTATGTCATCGTTTGTAGTAAAATTTCATTAAGGTAATTGATGTCTGTAGGGGATCGGATTACTTCCACACACGACCTGCAGTTGCTTGGATATTGACATGGTGTTATATTACGTCTGTCTGTGAACATGTCTGTTGGACACGACATGCCAACGTTGACTTATTCCATTAATAATTGCGCCCCGCTATGATGGTTTTTGCAATCACGGAGAAAGCTGATCTCCACCAGGTTTAATAAAATTTAAGAAATACTATACCGCGGCTGTACATAGGCGTAATTAAGATTGGAAGTTTATGGAACGACCATGTTGCAAAATTGCCATCCATCATCAATAATATTGTTGCAGAGTTATTGATAGTAAATAACGTTATTGACAGCAGCGGTGCATTAACATAAATTATGGTTTGCATCAGGGTTAAGTAATTAATATCGTAAACATGTGATATACTGAAAAAGGGATTTGTATTTTTTGTTGCATTGCTTTAATTTGTGTTTTCCCAACACAAAAATTACAAATTAGTTGTTCAATTCAAAGGATTTGCCAAACACAGTTTTAAGGAGCCAGGTTCACAGTTGTTTGTTAACTACAACAGTGCTCAATGAATTCAACGATTTTTTGTACAATTATTGATTTTTGTAACAATTTTATCATGCTGTAACAGTGGTTTAAACGGAGGTTTAAATTACCAACTCGTTTTCTGTTTCCAATAAATACTATGCTTCTGTTTGAACAGTGAGGACTACCACGTCGGTTTTAGGGACATTTTCAGTTGATTGCATCCTTCCTGATTTTTTTTTTAAGTTTTCGCAAATAAAATTTGTATCTTGTTAACAATAATTAAATTAATTCTTTCTTGTTCCGGAAGGAAGATTTAATTACTATTTTGTGTGACGAACTTGTTTTATATATAGCCCGTTTTAAGTGTGATCCTGCAACAGACACTATAAATTGTAGCGATCAGTATAATTATATAGCGGAACAGTATAACGCAATTAAGTTTAAAAGACTTTCAGCGAAAAAATGTAGAAGAAAAAAACCTGAAAATGTGGCTTATATTTTTGAAATTTTCCAGAATGATTTATTTCGCATTAAAAATTGTTTACACAAAAAAAATATTGCGATAACAATAATACGTGTTCAAATTAAGTATATAGTGTGGAAACCGATTACGGAATAAATTTTGTAATTGAATAACTAATGGTATTTGTCGAAAATTTCCAAACAGGTCAATATTTAGGTATTTTTAAATAGGATTTTTAAGCCTTCTTCACTTGTTCATGACGTCATCCCCTTTTCAACTATGACGCCACACTCATTTTTATGGAATGCTAAATTTTTTGTTTTGAATGGTACCCGTAAAGACATCTTTAACAACCCCTATTTGAAAGCTGTATATACAAGTGCTCAAAAAGTGGCACACTAACACAACGACACCTTAATCAGTTCACAAGTCAAAATAACAGAAAAAATTGCTAACTCAATTTGACGTTCACTTCTAAAAATAAGATGTGGATGTAGATGGGTAGGTTAAACAATGTGCAAAATTAGCTATTGTTGTCAAATTCATTCGGAACGATTTTTAAGTTTCGTGATATTATAAAATAAAGAAAACGAGGAGCAGATACCTCCAAAATTATTGAATAGTCAAATTCTGACGCATTTTAACACCACCAGTGAATTAAAATACGATGAAATATCGATAATAAAAATTAAATTTTGAAGGGCTATGTCTTCTATATTTGGGCTCAAGGATTTTTTAAATTATTTTTTCTCTGCTCAATAAACAGTCCTTAACAATATTCATATACCTATATTACCTATACAGGGTGAGTTAACAAGCGCTCGTGTCTCGTTATCTCAATTTTCTTGATATTTTTCTATTTTTCTATATTTAAAGGTGATAGTTATTGCGATTTTTTTACTTTTTTACGAGACACATCGATATATCGAAAGAAAGAGAACAAAAAATAGCATATGGTGCAGTAATAAAATACAGGGTATTCTAAATGAAACAACCGAAATTTCGATACATATTTAAACATTGTAACGGTTTAGATTATTTTAGAAACACTATATTAAAATTTTATCGAATGGATACCACAATAAAGTGCGTACTTCTGTTTATCTCTCCACAAAATATTCCAACGCAGATTTTACTAATAATAATTGCATTTTTTTGTCAACTCTTACACTGCCAAAAAAAACTAAAAAAAAAATAGATTAACGTTGCAGTGTCGCATCGGAATTTCAAAAATAAACTATGGTTATAAATGCCTAGGAAGAGGCTATTGAGAATATATAAAAATATAGAGGGTGTTTTTTTCCATCTCTATTAATAATTAATGCGTTACCGAGGACAATTTCATTATTTTCTAATATACAGGTGTTCCATATAGAATTCCGCGGTCTTATATCTTTAAAACGGATAGAGATATTTAAATTCTGTAAACGCGATTGTTTTTAGTTAAGAGGAAGCTTCATTTTGTCTTCTTGTCGCAGTTAATAGTGTATCACGTGTTAAAGTGAAACAAAATTTCCTTATTCAGTTTTTTAATTTTCTACTCCACTCAAGGGTCGCATCAGAAATCTTTTATATATCCCCACAAAGATAAACATCAGGGAATTAAATATGAACTGCGAACTGACAATCGAGTGGGCCTTCTACTGTCTACGCAATTTTCATAATAATTGTTTTTTATAATTAAAAATTTGGACCATTTTAGACAGGCACCAAAGAAATATTGCAGTACGTAGTTCAAGAGTTCTGCACAGAAAAAAGTCGTGTAAATTTACAATTATTTTACTGTTGCTTTTTATGTATTTTTTTACTTAAATTTAGTAAATTTACGTAAGTTAGCAGCATTGTGCATAAAATAAGTAAACTTGTGTCACTATTTGTATTTTCACAAGTCAAATTGAAAAAACACAATACAGAATCGCAATTGTAAATGTATATTCACTTTATAAATGAATTATACTTTATAATACCGTAAATATACTAACATTTTTTACAATTACTTCCAACTTTGTAAAATAATCCAGTCTACCGGTGAAATCACATGCATACTGTGAATTGTTGATGCGCACGCAATCATTACTATAACGCTTGCAGGTTATAACAAGTTGGAGTGCATTAGTTGTGGTAATATATTTTGTACAAAATAGTGTATTTTGTTGTTAAAGGTAAGTACTTTACTATTCTGGTTTACTATTTTCCTCCAGTTACAAAAGTACACTTTCCAGGCGGATAATTACTTACTATAATTTGCCCATGTCATCTTTAATTGTTATGTTAATGCAATTTTTATCACAGGGTGATGATATGAATAATTTAAATGAAATTATCAAGGTGGCTGCGCCATGTGTAATTGAAATAGGCAAGTATTTAAAACGTCTTTGTACCTGTAACATTTTAATGTATTTTTGTATTTTTCTAGAGAGCGATCCACAAACAATTTATCACGTAGTTTTAAAACGACAAGTAGTGATTCCAAGTGTTGTCACTTTAAAAGATGCAGTATCTTGGGCGTTTGGATTATATTTTATAATGAATTTAGAATATCCAGACAAAGTATCAGCAGTTTTGGAAATGATGCAAAGATTTTTTTTGAAAATACATCCAGATCAAGGATCCAAATCAAAAAGAGTAACACCAACAAAACGCAAAGTAATTGGCTTTATGAACAAATTAAATTAATGTAAAGTATATACAACATCAATGACTTTGTTTTGTGTTTATGATTTTATTACATGTTTATTATGTTTTTCACCATAAAATAAAAGGTTCACTTTGTCCGACATAGTTTCTTTGATTAAAACTAGTACTAAAAATAACAATAATTTGTGTAAATTTACATATCAATTCACGGAAATTTACATACCAATTCACGGAAATTTACATACCCATTCACGGAAATTTACATATTTTATTGTAAATTTACAATCGTCAAAATTACATTTTACTTGTAATTTTACATGTTCTTTTGTAATTTCGATTTACATTCAAAAAGTAAATATCACATTCAAACTTAAAAATACATTTCGTTGGAATATTACCCTTATTATCTCGGGTTACAAATTACCTGTGATTTTCACAGTAAATTTACAAGTAAACTTTTTTCTGTGTGACGTTAAGTTTTAACAGTAGTAGTGAAATTGCATTTACACATTTGATTTTATGACAATATATGGAGTATACAGCTCTTCGTTTAAATCATTTATATTAATTACAGTTAAAAAGTAATATAACACATACATATAAATGTTTTATATCATTGTAATTGTAATATTATAAAAAAAATATAAGATTGCGGTTCTACACCGAGGCCATACATACGTCATAATTACAAAGTAAGCACTAAGTTAAGTTTCAAGCTAAAAACAATGACGTTTACAGAATTTCAATATTTCATTCCGTTCTCAAGATATAAAGTTACAAAGTTTTATCTGGGACACTTGTCGTAAATGGTCCTAAAGTTAATAAGATGTAAACATTTTTATTCGAAAATAGCAGTTTTATTTCTGTTAATGCAATTATGTATCCAAGTTACTACTTACGATTAACAAATTTACGGTATGCATGATTACTATCCTGCATACCGTAAATTTTTCGAAAAGTTGAAGATAAACGACGAAAGGCCGACCTCCGAAGCACTTTAATGCGCTACTCCTACATGGGTAACGTTACTGTTTAAGAAGTCAACGTTTTTATTTCATACTTGTTTGCAATTTATGAACTAGTATTGCTGGCAGACAACTATTGTTAGAGCTGCACAAACGTCACAAAACAAACGCCATGATGTATATGATTTTGTAATTTTCATACATTTTGCAAAAAAGAACTAACTGTATTCGTTGTACTGATAAAATAATGATAAGGGTTTCAACAAGTACTTTTTAAAAATTAGTTGTAAAATGAATGTTATCATGGTAGTGCATATTTTGCAATAAAGAACAAATTCCATCGTACTGGTCATATTATTGCAAAATTTCTACAACTCATCCGGTATTAAGGAAGTTGACCCAGTAATGTAAACACCACGTAAAAGTAAACTGAAATATGTGGACTTAAAAAGATAGATGATTTAAGTGTAGTTGTAACGACATTAAAATTGTGCAAGTATGTAATTCGTCTATAGTATTATAATTCTTATGTATTATTATAATATTATAATTAACGATATTTTATTTATTTATTTATTTATTTATTTATTTTTTGTTATAGGTATGAGGACCTACCAATCTTCTTTGGATTACAACGATTAATGTGGCAGTGAGTAAAAAAGTTAAGGAATAAAAGCGTTTATTTGAGTACAAAGAAAATAAATATGAAATAACGGAATTCAATCGAAAACAAGGTTGAATTCTCACACGTTTATTAATATCGCATGATTGAGTGCGATTTATACACAACGCTTTGGGCTCTTGTCGTAAGGTCGCTAAAACTTACAGCAAACCAAGAACATGACTTACCACTAAACAAGGTTATAAAACGCACTAAAAGGTTACCAGAGAAATTGCGATTTTTGAATCACTAACAGTTATTTCATTTAACTTTTTCTCTCGATAAATATAATGATTAACTATTAAATTAAACGGCTACCTCAAGTTGTTTATAATGCAAGGATTAATGATAATGAATGATCTGGTGCTTGTAATTTGGGTGCCGCGAACATTCGTCCACGTGTATCTATACGAATTCAGCTCTGGCTGTTGTTCGCTGAAATATTTTTTTTACTTACGCAATATAACACAATATAGGTACATGTTTTAATTGATCTCAAGCGACCCATAACAGTCTGAACTTGTGTCGCAACATAATTATAAGTGTTACAGTTTTGACATTTAAAATAGCTGCATCAGATGTTGTGTCTTACACACTTTCATTTTCAATCATAATGTCTGATTTTGTAACGTGAACAACTCTGCTGTACAAGCCTTCGAACTTCAAACATCATCATTCTGTTTCTATTGTTACCGTTACGAGTGTGATAGATGATAAGGTTATTCTCGTAAAAGTGACAGATTTTACGAAAATGCAGTTGAAAGTTCAGTCCGGGAACCTTGAATTTTTTAAGTGACTCAAAAGTTGCACTGAAACGTTATTCTTGAAGGTGTGTTTACATTCCAAAATTGCGGTTAATTTTTAATTATTAATAACCGAGGGATAATGATAACGGTGTTATAAAAACGGTTTTATGGAACAAAAAGTCAACATTTTTAAAGTCTTTATACTGATATGTTCTGGTTCATGTATGTACAATGAGTCCATAAACACCCACATCGACTTCAGTCAGAATATAATTTATTTTAAAACAATAGAACACGATTTTAATGCAACCATTGACAAAGTAACAACTAAATACATGACATGGCATGTGTATAATTAGCATACAAAGTTATACCAAACCATTTTGTGGACTGAATGAAATGTTCTTCCAATCTGACGTTTTTATCAAATCGCAAGTAGAATGCTGCGAAATTTTAAAGCGTTTACACGATACGTGTGGATATAGGAAAATAAACCGTTAATTAGGTGAATTATTATGTTTACGGTTACAGTTGCTGTCGTTGGAAGTTGGAAGATGTCTAAAATTTATGCTGGCTTCCAAAAACAGTAATTTCATTAAAATATTTGTAATCTGATACTTCAGGTTTGCAAAAACGTTAATAAACACTACATACAATAACTACTGATCTACTCTGGCATTTGAAAATTTGGGATCTGATTAGGTAAATTTAAGAAAAATGGAACAGTTCATTCAATGTAGAATGAAATTAATATAAAAGTAACATGAAATTGTGACTGCACTTATTAAGAAGAGATTTACTTTCGATATGGCTCTTTTCTTCAGAACTTTCGCCCACTTTCTACTCCCCCTCCCTATACGAAAGAGGGCGAAACGTCGAAACTTTTTTCAAAATTGATGAGGTCCAAATCCGGGAAACTTATTTTTGTGAAACTGAAACCTACTCCCTTTTCAGGAATTGTTCGAGGAATAATACTTCAACTGATTATAATTTATTTCCTTGTAGTGTTTGCTTGTCATACGTATAGTGTGTATACTGTTCCTTTTTCGGAGGAAAAAGTAAAAAGGAACTAACTAGATAAAATATTACATGTTCAACATTCTTTAGTTTGTGAGGCGGTTCGTTTTTTGACTGCGAGCAATATTCGACCAACTAGAAAACAACATTTAATAAAATAAACATGCAATATGCCTTATATTTTGCAATTGTTTGAGCTAGATGAAAATATTTACAACATTTCAGGTTCTTCTTTTTACAGTTTCCCAGATGTTCGGAAATTATTTTACATGAAGTAATTAATTCATCAAATTAATAATTCTTACCACTACCAACTATTAAGGAGCAGTAAAATGAATTAGTAAATAGTAGTTTAAAAGTAATTTTAAAAATAAACGCTAACCCAAGTCAGCCTCATGCCTCATTGAGTTTTTATTTTTTTATCATATAACTAATGTCTTTAATAAATAATGCACAATTTTACAGATGTGAGAAAAATCGTCGAAGAAAATATTTATACCACTTTCAAAATGCACAAGCGAAGAGTTTAAAAAAAGTATTCCTCGGGAAAAATATTTTCTCGTTGTTTCTAGCTTTTAAAAGTGTTTTGAAAAGCAGTACTTTTTATTTACCTATTTTTTTTTATCGTTTGTGAAAATGTCGTAAGTAGTAGCAGTTTCTGTAACTGTTTAAATGACACCTTATAAAAAATACACTATGAGTTTTCTGTAGTACTAAAATAAGTTTAATAGCTATAATAACTACTGAGAAATGTTAAATACAACCGTCAAGGATGTTAACTGGAATTTTGGACACGCGTGTGCAAAAATCGATTATACATTTTATTTGTGTTTGTAAATCTGGTCTAAAGTAGGTCGGTCGCCGTAGGACCCGGAAGTCGGACAGATTTCACGTTACTGCTACTGAACTTATCTGAATCAATCTAGTTTCATAATTCTGTGTATTTATTATAGTCGTGAACAACATTAGCACACCGATTATGCGCAACCGATATCGCTTATTACAAAGCCGCAACGAATAAAGATTTCATTAAGATCCGATGAAATTTGATATCTAAACTTCAGGCTGAAAAGTTCAAAAACGTAATTTGCTAAAACAATGAATTTACTTCAAGACGTTTCGTAATCTTCGTCTTGTCATGAGAACATGACGACCAAATTGGGATAATCAATAAATTTCTCATTAATCTTGTTGCCACTATCTACTATGGTCAGGGGTTTCATCTTATATGGATAAATTAAAGCCGTTCAAGGTTAAAAAATCATTTTTAGGAAATACAGTTAAAGTAAAAAGAAGGATATTTATTTTCTCGTTCTGAGTGTTTTTATAGGCGCTTTATTAAACAAATTCTTCCTTTACTATCTGAACCTTGAGGCTAAATACTTTCTGGCCATGAAGGTTTAATAGTTTTTGTTACATAATTTTAATTAAGTGGACATGGAATTATTGTAGTCTTGTTTCATGTACAATTTTGAAAGTTGTGTGGGAGGTTTTTTTGTTATGATTTCTCGTGCACATTTAAGCAACTGGAAATGTGTGATGTGTTACTCGTTGTTTTGCTTCATTTAATTTTTATAACGGCACATAACTTATTATTACAATGCTATTTGCATTACTGTATTTACAAAAAGAGTAATTACATAAGATTAAAATGCTGTCTTTTTCCCAACTGATGTTCAAAGTTTAAAAAGCCACATCACTCGAAGCAGTTTTAATATTTCAATCCTGAATGTGTATATACACACAAT